CCCCCCCCCCCCTTTTGTTTATTTATTTGAGCATATTACTTTTTGCTTCCTGTTTCAATAGAAAATACTTGAACACAGGAACGAGAATTGTTAATCAACGTGAAATTTAAAGGCATATTTACTTAGATTATATGTTACTGTTAAATGTTCTGGAACAAAAGACTGTGATTGGGGCATAAAGGCCTATTATACTTGCCTTTCTTTTATTTCCTTTTGTGGACTGAGCTTTTCACAAGCAAGACCCGTAACAGTAGATGCAAGGATTAGATCGGTCAGTAAACGTCCTGCCAGAGAAAGTGTAATCACTAGACCGCACTGGGCATCTGCCAGGGTGCACAATCAATAGTTAAGAGTTCTCTTTTCATTAATGTTCAGATGAGCTCAGTGCACAGCCAGGGCACTGCCAATGAGAATGCAGCAAAACCCTGTTATTTTTAGATCCCTATTTTTACTTTCTTCCGTTCCTTCTTCCAATACAGATTGCAGAATTAGATGGAAATTGTATACCTGGTTTATTTTAGATAACAGTATATTGATGTTTGGCTGATAGCGATATGATTTACACCACGTAAAAGTCACTTTACCCCTTCCAGGCACTGGCACTGAATCATGCACAGTTTGACTTCAGCAAGAGTTTTATATTAAAAATAACTAGGTTTGCACATTTTCTGAAGAAAATGTGATTAGAGTTTTACACACCATACAAGTTTGTTCAAATCCTTTACTCAAGTATAGTGGCGCTTAGCTTTGCAAACAGCACAAATAAGAGTCACATTATTTTTTTCCAAATTTTTCTGCTTTTATAAGGTGAAATTGTCCAACTTAATGAAATTTTCTGACCTGATGCAGGCCCGACAGCACTCTTGGCTCACGGTATCGCATGTGGCAGCACAGTTACCACCCATCCAGGTGCCAAGGACAAGATGATGGCTGGTGGTAATGTCTCTGCATATACCTAGTGTTTTTCTCACAAGCCTTTAATGTCAGTGATAGAAACTTGCATATTTAAGGGGCATGTCTTGGAAAAGAACCCACAATAAACATCCAACAGAAGAGTACACAATAGCCATGTTTATGGACTCATTTTGTTTCATTTGGAACGAAATCATCCCGATGAATCCGAACTTAGTGTTAAATGAACGCTAAATAAAGTGATCAGGTTGATGTGTGTGTTTATACTTTGTCACACGCTTCAAATCAGATATAGGGCCAGTTTTACTAACAGCTTGCGCCAGCACAAACTGTCTTTTGGAGTTAAAATAGTACTGTCAGATTTACTAAAGAAGCGCAGTGATGAATTGTCACTGAAAAGGTGTTATTTTTGCACCTGACCTTATTGAATATGCATTTGTAGGAGTTTCCCTTTCAGACGCAAAATTTATGGGAGGAGAGCATTCAAATGAATCACGCAACTAGATTAACTAGCTTTTGCGCTCGTCAAATTACTGGTATTTGCGCCATTATTTAACGCCCCAAAAAAGCATGTCTTAAACTATTTTTACGCTTGAAATGGCTGCAAATTTTTGCTAGGAGGAGGCACCGCAGAAAACAGAGAGTGCGTGGTATAAGGGAGAGGATTGTTTTCCACACATAATTTATTTGTAATGCAAGAAGAACATGAAAATATAATTTGCCAAGCCATGTTATTTTTAATTTGCTCCAGGAAATAAAAGACGACTTGGAACCCTTATCTAGGAGTCACACAAAAAATCAGGTCTATCAAAACTCCTTGCAACTTCAAGCATTTTTTGGCCTCCGGTTCTTTTCAATGTATTGTGGCTACTTTATTTCTTTATTCTTTAGTTGCGACTGCTCTAATTTGCGCTGTGCTTGGCATATTGCGTTGGTCGATATGTAAATGAGATGAGATCTGTGTTCTTTAATTTGCGCATTGTTAGTAAATCACTCGCAGAAGTTTCCACGCCCATCTGTGCTGTTTTGCAATTGCGCTCTCGCGCTAATTTGCCCTGATTAGTAAAACTGGCCCCTTAATCTTTGGAGTTTCCCCCATTTCAAAATGCACATACTAGCCTTCCTGCATCTTTTCTTTGTTTTAAAAACACATTAAAACATGGACATTACTCTTGCATTTCATTAAACACAATGGATATGTATGTACTGTATCTCTAGATATGTTGTAGGTCATTCAGGATTTCTTAATTAATTACATAATGACAAAGCTGTTGTCGGCAGACCAAAAGCTACACTATATTGTTCTTCTTAAACTAGGGTGCTTTTGTGTTTGTTTCGCTGCAGGAGAACGAAAAATAAAGATTGCACTTGTCGACTGTGGTGATATCTTTAGCCATATGAATTATTTTGTATTCTTCCCCCAGATCATTATAAATATTCAGAGGCTCGTGTTCAGAAGGATGGTAACGTGATCACCAGCAGAGGGCCAGGAACCAGCTTTGAGTTTGCCTTGACTATAGTGGAAGAGCTTATGGGTGCAGAGGTTGCTTCCCAAGTCAAAGCCCCCCTCATCCTGAAAGACTGATCATCAAACTGTGAAGATCTCGCATTTACAATTGTACTGCTATGCCAATCTGAAAGGGAGTTGAATTTATTTGGTTTTGAGTTTTGCTTGCATGTGATTTTCTGTAGGAATATGACTATTTAATGAAGTTACTTAAATATATATTTGAAGAGAGTTGCTGCAAACTGGCAGTCGATAATCTAAATGGCTTTTTATGGCTTCCTGTGAGGTCTGATTCCCAGTTCTCTTGCTCTGCACTTATTAACTTCTGAACCAGAATAAAGTCATAGTGCACTAAACTCATAATGTCTCTTAATAACTTAAGCATTTAACATAAACTGATAAATATAGAGCATTTTGATGACATGAACAGAAAGGAAAAGGAGCATTATAATTAATAATAATTTTAAATCAACATTTAATTTGTGCCTCTTTAACGCACAGCATTTTTTAATTTGTGCCAAACAACTTATAGTAGTACATGCAATTGTTTCAACACATACAGAACAACAAGGACAATAGGAAATGAGACATATAATAATAATAATACAATAAGTAGCCAAAACGAAATGCCAGGGGGAAAACATACAAGGATAAATATTTAAAGTAATTTTTTGGCTTTTAAAAGATTTTTAATTATATTAATTTATTAATTTAATTTATGCCCATCAAAGACAAAACACAGGATTTATAGTCTATCAGAAAATCTATAGTAACGGGTTCTTACTCCCTAAATTTGTATTTGTGTATAAAAAATCTTTTGAGAATTTGAGAAATAATAATTACTTTTTTCAGAGATAACTTTTACACAACTCGTTTCAAAAAGCTGTAACACAAACACTTTCACAAAAAAAGGTGTATAGTTTGAGAATAGAGTATTGAAAATGTCATAACTATTGGACGCTTGAAACATATTTCTAGTGACGTACTGCGAGGCCAACCAATCAAACGCCGCTGTCTTGTCGCGGTGCGCCTCAACCAGCCAATAGGGGCGTCCCTGCCCAGCGCGAGTGTGTCTTTTGTAGCGCGTGGCGAGAGTGTGAAAAAAGTCATCGGATGCTGCTTGACCGGAAGCGCGACATCACACTAAACGGTTTGAGCGGTGAAGAAAAGTGAATTGTCGTGTTTGATGAACTCTTATCCTGCTGCAAGGTAAGGATACTATATTTTATACTCTGTTTAGCAATTGTTGTGCAAGAAATCAATCACGACTAAAGACTTGTGTTGCTGAGGTAAATCGCAGAATATCTCATGGAGACGTTGAGCTGCCGTTATCTTACAGCTTATAAAGTTAGGAAATGATGATCACAATTAATTTGTTTCGTGTTTTGCTACTCGCCTGTTAGCTAGTTTGTTGTCTCTGAGGTTTGATTTTGAGCTTTAAAGTGAACTTGAAGAAAGGAAACTGTCATGATGTACATCATCATCCAAAGCTCTGGGAGTCAGCATCTCCTCCCATTAGAATAGTATTAATAATAACAAAACATGCCAGAGATGTGTTCTGCATCCGTTAAAGGCAGTTTACACTTGGTAAGTAACTTAGGGTTTTGCAGGATATCCTTTTCATGACCCTTTACCGGTATTTCCCTTGGTTACCATAGTTTACATCAAAACACCTTTACTGTTACTACTGAAAAACAAACAAACAAACAAACAAAATAAATAAATAATTTTTTTATTAATCGCATAGTGTAAAAATAAGTTTTTTGTGTGTGACATTTTTATGACTGGTAATACCAAGTTAGTTTAAATAAAATAACCACTGTGGTATGGTATTTTGGTAGAAATTATGGTTAAGGTAACTTACATTTTTAAAGGGAAGTTAGAAAACATGTTGTAGAGCAATTTTAAAATTTACATTTTATACAAAGCAGCTTACATTGCTTTAATGCATTCCCTGAGAATAGAACCCATTGCTAGCGCCATTTTTTACTGTCTGAACTACATGGAATGCATTTAAGGATTTGCTGACATGATATATCTGGATTTTTGACTGGACAAATTAACCTGAATCCCTGAATCTGAAATGTGTGAAATTTACAAAAAAAAAAAAATTACTCCCCCTCAGGCCATCCAAAATGCACATTAGTTTGTTGTCATCGGATCAGATTTGGAGAAATGTAGCATTACATCACTTGCTGCTCACCAGTGGATCCTCTGCAGTGAATGGGTGCCGTCAGAATGAGAGTCCAACCAGCTGATAAAAACATCACAATAATCCACAAGTAATCCACATGACTCCAGTACATCAATTAATGACTTGTGAAGTCAAAAACTTTGTGTTTGTAAGTTTCAAATTCATCATTAAGGTGTTTTAACTTCAAAACCTTTGCATCTTGCCAAAATATGAGTCTATAATCCATCATAACACTTCCTCCAGTGGAAAAAGTCCACTCCCTTTTTGTCTTCTCACATCAGAATCCAAAGACAAATTTGTTTATGACTGTTTTCACTTGTGAACAGTGCTTGATCTGTGCATATTTCTCTCCTGATTGAGACAAGACGATCTTTTCACTGGAGAAAGCAGTATTATGGATAGAGGACTCATTTAGCCAGCAGCAACATTTTAAAATAAAATAACATAATGAGGGATTTGTTTTGCAGCTTTTCCCGTTTTAAGTTGCTAGTTGATGGACTGGAGTGGTGTGGATTACTTGTGGATTATTGTGATGTTTTTATCAGCTGTTTGAACGCTTAATTCTGACGGCACCCATTCATTGCAAAGGATCCATTGGTGAGCAATTGATGTAATGCTACATTTCTCAAAATTTGATCCGATGAAGAAACAAACTCATCTACATCTTGGATGGTCTGAAGCGGAGTAAATTATTGGTAAATTTTCATTTTTGACTGAGCACCTTTTATAATTTAAAGCTGCAGTCCGTAAATTTTGCCCCTTGTCGCCATCTCTGTTTAAAAACCTGGAATTGCAGCTGTGTGCGGAATTATCTAGCTTGCATGGGTTGTGCGGCGGCACGGCTCCAGCGCGGATTAATCTAATGTTCTGAAGAGTATGTGTGGCAGTCAGTCACCGCACCGCTGTGGATATTTACTGTGCTTCGCAATCACAGATTCTAGCCTACATCTTGGAATATATGACCCAAATAATAATTTTCATCGGATATTGTCATCTGAACAAGTAAGGAAAGATGACATTCGTGTTCATATCATCATATAGTGAGATGGCAGAAGCTGAAAACACCGCGAGCGTCTTCCGCACTTTAGTATGTGTAAACAAAAAAGTGTGCCGCACCATCCGCCATTAATTCATTGCGGAAATCATGGCGCCTTATGCGTGATATCAGATGCTTCCGCAGATTTATAGTATTACTATAGCATTTCACCTGAGCATTGCGAATTGCGCGTATGGCCATGACAAGTTTATTTTAACCCAAAAAGCAAATTATGCTCCCTTCGAACTGGTTGTCTTAAAATACAAATTTTGTGTAATTCGGATCTGTAATCCGAAGCACATTTAAAACTGGAATATAATTTAATTTCATTCACATATAAACACATAATCCTTTCTGGATTACAGTCCGCTATAAGCTAACCGTTGTGAATCGGGCTAAAGTAAGGCGATAGTTTTGAACAGTGGCTGGTTATGTACGTGCTGAAATATTGATTTTGGGTCATTTCTAACCAAAAAAAGTTACAGACTGCAGCTTTAACCTTTGCTACAGTATAGAGCTGCACGATTAATCGTTAAAAGATCGCGATCTCGATTCAGACGCCCATGCGATCTCATTTCTAAATGACAATGATTCCCCGAGTCTATTAAACCTTTGACAAAGTCTTACCGGATCATTCAAATCGAGTCTATTAAACCTTTGACAAAGTCTTACCGGTTCATTCAAATCTGTGTTCGCACTGACGCTGACGCAGAGAGAGCAGTTACTTACCATGTTTGGTTAAGAAGCATCTTCACAAACTGTCTTTTCAACTACACAGTATTATTTCTGTCTTACAGTCATTCATATCACAGAAATACTGGGGTGAAAGTTTATAGTTCAGATATTAACATTGATGTCTATGGCAGCGATCAAAATGGAGCAAATCCCCTTTTGAAAGTAACTACGCTTCAAATAACGTTTGTGTCGATTGCATTGTTTCGCCACAAGGTAGCGAAAAGTGACTTAAAAATGTATTTGTCATTGAATGAATTATTCATTCAAGAGAATCTTTCAAAAACGCTGATTCATCCAGTAATAAAACAAGTTAAGTAGGTTTATGAGTGAGTCGTTGAATCATTGATTCAAACAACTTTTTCATAACATCAGTATAAAAAATTGGTGTATTAAATATATTTTAATATTTTGAAAGAAGTCTCTTCTGCTCACCAAGCCTGCATTTATTTGATCCAAAGTACAGCAAAAACAGTTTTCACATTGAGCAGCATTAACTACACAGAGCCGTTGTTCACTGACGAGCTGTGCACAAAATCGCGCGAATATGAACGTGGTTTTGCAACATACACACTACACACTGACTAAAATTAAAAAAGTGAAAAAGCATAATAGGACCCCTTTAAAAATTTGTGTATTAAATATATTATATATATATACACTACCAGTCAAAAGTTTTTGAACCGTATAATTTTACAAAAGCTTATTTCAGATAAATGCTGATCTTTCTATTCATCAAAGAATCCTGAAAAAATATACTCAAGTGTTTTAAATATTGATAAAAATAATAATAAGAAAAAGTTTCTTGAACAGCAGTCATCATATCAGAATGATTTCTGAAGGATCATGTGACTGGAGTAATGATGCTGAAAATTCAGCTTTGATCACAGAATAAATGACATTTTGAAATATATTCAAATAGAAAGCAGTTATTTTAAATTGTAAAAATATTTCACAATATTACTACTTTTGCTGTATTTTGGATCAAATAAGTGCAGGACGCATTGCTGAGCAGAAGAGAATTCTTTAAAAAAACATTAAAAACTTACTGTTCAAAAACTTTTGACTGGTAGTGTATATTAAAATGTTTAATAATTCATTCAAATTAATTAAAGACTTTTAAATAGGCTGCAGCAATAATATTTTGTCACACATTATTTTGTTTAGTTCAGAATCGTGATCTCTATTTGAGACAAAAAAAATCGTGATTCTCAATTTATCCAGAATCGTGCAGCTCTATATAGAATGCTGTATAAAGTTACTAAAATAGGTATTTTCAGGAATCATTTTTTTAATGGCCAAAAGTGAAATATGTACAACAATCACTCTGAACTGTCTGGGCGACTTCCTTTGGCCGTCTGAGAAATGCACTTGCTTTGTCAAGAAATATTTAAAGTTGGC